TAGGGCTTCTGTTGTGCAGGTTCATGGATCGTATAGGGTGTATCGAGCCAGTTATGGAAGCCAGCCGATTCACGAGGCATCGACTCTGTGCCAATGGTTTCCGAGAGACAGAGTGACGGTGCAGGATCCAAGGCTGAATGTACACTTTTAGACCAAGGACCTAGGAAAACCTATGTAGCTGCAGCTTCTTTCGGGGCTCGTCAAGAGAAACTGGCGCGTCATCTCCGAACTACACACTTCCTGCGCATGAAGTTTTGCATCCGACACGCACATCGACGGAAGCTAGCATCCGACACGCATAACTTGCTAGCCATTGCCAAGATGACAATCACATGGCAAGTCGTCATAAGAGACGGTAGTGTGATCAATCAGAGGTCCTACATCGGGAAGTTGCTTCCCACAGTTCGGCCGGAGCCAGCAGAACTCAGCCAGTTGCGACTCGCAGCAATCCATATGGGATCAGCTTGCCTAACACCGAGGCCGGTTAGGATTCTTGTGGGTGTTAATGAAGTCAGTCGGCTCCAACTGATTTTCGAGTGTGACAGATGATGCGACCTCGAAGGCTCGTTGAACTTTTGGCTGACACAACACTTTCTAAAATGCGTCAGCTAAGCCTTCGTCTGCAGCGAGTGGCACGCCCATCAAACGGCTAAAGATCTTTCTCAGGCTAGACTGACAGGACGCCACGGCTACCTCGTGAACTTAAATAATAGCAACACTTCACCCTAAACCAAAGTCCCCAAGACCCCAAACCCTAAAAACTAAAAACCATCTCAGCGGTGCAATAACTCAGTACTTTCGGCTGAAACCAAAACCCTCAAACCCTAAAAGGGAGCCTGGGATCAGCACCAGGGCAGCGATGAACACCTCTCACCAAGTTGTCTTTGGGCCGAGATCCCATCCTTTAGCTTCACCATTGGGCAAAGGCCCGGGTGCTGCGCGAAGCGCCAACCGCAAATGGATGTTTACGAAACTTTTAAAGCCTTTACGCTTTTTAAACGTGCAGCTGCGTGAACAAATGCATCTCCGAGCGGCAAGTCTTCGCGCGGCGGCAGCGGTGCTTCCCTACGGTGGGTGATCGAGGGAGAAGAAGTGAAAGGTTTCCGGAGGCGACCCACAAAAAACACGATAAACTCCCTGAGGCTTTGGACGATACAGAAGGAGATTCCTGCCTCGTCGCCGCCAAGAAGGAGACGCCCCAGGCAAAAAGCGTCGAGCTGCAAACGGCCGCGTTGGCGTTGGGACCCAAGCGCCCGACTGCGCCGAGCAGAAGCACCACCCCAGTGCCTAGCCTCGGTTACGCTTTGGAGGGAGGCTTTTTTCTTGACACCGCGTCCCGTCTACAGAACGGGGGTCCCCAGCTACACACATAGAGCCCACTACTGCAAGCAGCGTTAAGACCTTGGAAACGAGGTTTCCTGAGTGCTATAGATCCTCCAGAAGAAGGCTTTCGGGTTTAGGTTGTGGGGTACACGGTGTACCCATGTGGTGCCAAATCTCGGTTTCTCTGTTGCCGGATTCCACTGGGGTCTCCTGGAGGGATGCTTTGCAGAAGCCAATGCTCATCTTACCAAGGCTTCTTCGGGCTAGTTACGGCTACTTAGGCTCATGAGATGGGCATCCTGCAGCATCTGAGGCACGGGCTCAAGCAGCTGGATCGGCCGCGGCCCGAACAAGAACCTGGTGATCATGGCAGGTGGCTTCCGATGCCTCCAAGGCCAACACCTTCAAGATCGCATCCGCTACAAAACACCGGCTTGTTCTCTCCTCTCTGCACCGGTGAAGAGAATACTCTTCAAGAGGAATACCACACATGGTTCCCTAAGCCCTAAACCCTAAACCCTTGCTTGGAGGTGCATGGCCGAAGGCATGCCAGGGCCGGCCTTGCCAGCAAGTGCTCATCGATGCCCGCCTCTTTGTATAAGCTTCTGTGATTTCGCAGCTTGGGTTTCGGTTCCTTTCAGCTTTGATTGTTGGATGGTGTGAAGCTCCGTGTTGGAGTGTGTGTGCGTGTGTCTGGTCGCGGCTTAAACGTTAGACACTACTATACATTGCTCTCGGTGTTTAAAGCATGGCAGCATAGCATCTTCAGGGTCTACCGAATATTGGCTTCGTATATATATGCTCCTCCTCCGGCTTCTCAGGCCGATCGATACGTGTTCAGCTTTGTAAGACTCGATCCCGAAGTCTGTAACCCAAAATCCATACAACTTTGAAGCGGTGCCGTCAAATTGGTAAACCCACCAGCTCGAAAACCTTTATCATCATATCCATAATGGGCGTAGGAGCTGTGGGGGATAGTCATAGGTTCTCATTCAGGCTGTTACGATGCAAGGATCGGTAAGCTCCTCGGACTACCAAAAGCATGCCAACGTCTTGCCTGGGTCGTCAAAGCCAGAAAGCCGCTGAAGAGAAGTGGATCGTTCCTTCAGCAGAAGGGATCGGAGCCAAAACTTTTGAAGTCTCCGACACCAAGAATTGCCGTAGACCCTGGAGTACCGTAAGATGCTCGCCTAAATCCCGCAGAAAAAACTCATAGAGATCGATAAAAGTGCATAACGACATTCTTGACGCGATGGTTGCCCATGGTTGCCTCACCATGACTAGGTAGACTGCACGGCACGGCTAGGCTTTCGGGAGTTCCACGGCTAGGATCTTGGGTTTCTGCGGCCAGACAAGCTGATGCTTGTTCCAAAACAAATCTCGGGGGAAAAATTGTTTTCGTGGATATCCGAGCCTTGGACCCATGGATGTACGCGGATTCTGGCAAAACTCATGTGAGGTTTGGCACCTTGTATCCCAACGCTTTCTTACAGCACAAAATCAGCTGCCCTAGAAAAACACCTGACGCTTGAAGCACTGCACAGAGATACTCTCCCAACACGGCCGCTGCTACAGTATGTTGGCAACCACCGTGAAAACTTATTGTTCAGGCACTGGGGCCTAGCCTCAATCACAAGCCCCCGCAGTTCAGAAAACGCCGATGATCACGGCAAGGTTTTCCGCGCCTGAAACGAGAATAACCCAAAGAAGGCACAATAGCGTCATGGCAGGAACTGTCACACATCCAACATCTAGGAAGGAAGCTCGTGCAGTCAAATATTGAGGAAACCTGTGCAGTGAAAGAGTAGGCTGAAGTTTGCAGAAGGACAGTCGTTACCGAAATTAGTCCAAGCATTATCAAAAGATCCTCGAGCTTGGAATGAGTTCTGGCTCTGGGAAGTTGGTGTTGCTCTATGATCCCGCCTGATGTGCCGAAGTGTACTGCAGCTGTGGCAGCCTGAAACAACAGCGAAAGTCACGGCCTCTCTCTAACCAAATGCTGCGCATGGTAGTTGTGTACTGCAGCCGCAGCAGCATGCAATGGCTACGATAAGCTTTCATTGGCGAATGCCAGGGTTGAAGCACCAAACACTGCTCTTGTGTGGCCCTGCCATGGTCCCTATTTGCGGTCGTGCGTAGACCCTCCAAACTAGCTAGGTTCTGTAGCTCTAAAGCTTCTCTTGCTCATGGACCCGCCCTTCGGAATGCTGGTCTGGACGAAGCATGCTCTCCCAGTGGGCCTGCTCGGGCCATGCGGCCTTCGACCCTAGGCATGTCCACACTTTTTTTCGCACGCGTGTTAGGGTGATGTCCATGCTGATAACGGAACTGCTGTACAGAAGCTCTGCTTCGCTGTACACGAATTAGAAGCTGCATACTCGCCTGAAGGTCAGGCCAACCTCTTGTGGCGTGGGACGCTGCAGCCTTGCCGTGGGTCCAAGGACATTGGTTCGCAGGTTACCTGTGAGGAGCTTTCTCAAGAAACCTCAACCCTACAGTATAACCATTAATTAAGCCCAAACCCTAGAGACCCTTAAGACTCTGGACCCCGAACCTGGACAAAGCAAGCCCCGCCCTGTTGCATGCTGGCTGAGGCAACGTGCATACCTTGCAATCAAAGAAGCCCGAAGTGTTCCTCCTTTGGAAACCTGTGGGGACTAATTGAAAGGATCCATGATTTCAATTCCGGGAGTCTCTGGGCCAGACTTCTCCGCTGGGTCGTGCAGGTCTTCACTCCTCCTCGGCTAGGGCTAGTGTTTTCTGTTTCGTTGGGTTCCACTTTGAGCACGCGCACGGTGCATAACTGTTGCCAGTGTTCCTTTACTGGGGTCTGAAAGGTGTTGTAGCTTTCAGGAGCGATGGACTGAGGATATATTGTCTCCAAGTATTCCGGCACTTTTCGATACAGGCTTGGAGCAAAAAGCAAGAAGATGCTGCGCTGTCGCAAAACAACTTTAGACCTCAAATGCCAGGGAGCGTTTTCGCTGCTTCCACTCTCTGCTTCAGGCTCCTCCTTTGCAGCCCCCGGGTTTGTAGGAGAAGGTTTTGCCTCGGTCTGGAAGCTGGATGCATGTTGCAACCGATGTTCTGAAATGCTTAGACTTAGACCAGGGCAATCCCAATAAAAAAACTATCTCAAAAAAAGCACCGGTCCCGCGGGAACCGCTAGAGTCTGCTAGAGATCGTCTTCGCGAGAATGATGCAGCCAAGTGTTTTCTTAACTTCTGGGCCATGCAACTTTGATCGAACCATGGTTCCAGCATTTTTGCTAGTTGGAAACAAACCTCGTCGCTAGGATCCTCGTGAAAACGTAGACAGTATCGTCAGGCCCCAGCTCGTTTGTGAAAGTCTTGGTTCCTGCAGTCGGCTCCAGACTTTGATGCCACCAACGAGCAGTGCTCTCCAGGCTATTCTTTCTTAGACCGGCTGGCTAAAGAGCCTCGTGTTGCACAGACACGGAGGAGAATGGTTGAATGGGCCTTCTTATGGCTATCTTCTTTGGAAAATACATGTTTACATCGCGATTTGCTAGTCAAACCTTCACCTGCCAAGACACGCTCTGGCTGCTTGCAGTCTTCGCTCCTGCCGCTTCCTCAGCTTCCTTGAGTCTTTTGGCCGCCTGGGACAACTGAGAGAAGGGACCTCAAGAATCTCATGCCCCAAAACCCCAAACCCAAAAGCCGAAACATCTAACCCAAAAACCAAATCGTTAAACGACTCATGACCCAAAACTCAAATGCAGTGCGGCGGAGGTGGTCCATGCTTTACAACCAATAGAAATTTCAGGGGGTCAGGCTAAGGACAGCCGTCTGTTGCACCTGCACCTCCCACAGGCTCACCCAAGAACATGGGACCATACCAGAACATCCTGACGGTTTTCCCCGTCTTTCTGGGCCCCGACATAACATACGTAGACGTAGCATTGGGGAAGTCACCCTGAAAGCCGGAAAGAAACCATGAAAGTGTCTAAAGATCTCCGGCCTGTCTTTCCCGCCGCTCTGCGACGAGGGAAACGAAGATGAGCACCGCCATTGCAATTGAGATGCCCTTAGTCTGAGACTTCCAGGCCACGTGGCTTGTCAAACCGGGGTTGGCCGTAAGACATCGGGTTTACCTGGGTCTCTTTTTACCTATGTTACCCGCTACTTAAGAAGCCTAAACGCGAGGTCAAGAGAGCCACAAGTAAGGTGTTTTTGGCTCTTGCGTTTCGGGTTTCGGACTACTACTCCAAACACCCTAAACCCTAAACTATGCAACGCCCTAAACCCTAAACCCCAGACCCTAAACCCTATAGATTCTAAACCCTGAACCCAGGAGAAGCGAGGGTTTCGGGTTTCGGTTGTTGGGGGAGACTTTGGGGTTTCCGCGTTTCAGGATCTCGACCGCAAGGCACTTGCAAGGCGAGGGGGGGTTGGGTTCCGGCGGCTTGACGCGTGAATCCTAGAGGCGTGGCTGCCTAAAATCTCTGGGTTGAGGTTTCTGATCTATATAGGGTTTTGGGGGTCTGCGCTATGTTATGGGACTAGTAAGTCTAAAAACAACTATGAGCCTCAAAAAGCAGCGACTCAACCCTTTGGAGAACCGCCTCTTCGAATTTGCTTCTCCTCGCGTCATCGGTGGACTATTGTAGTTACCTCCCAACCCCGTCTCTTGCGTACTCACCCCTCCCACCCCTCCTTCTGAGCAACAAAGGCCCAAGGCAGATCAAGGAATACCTTACCCAACCAGAACCCAAAGTTTTGTGGGGTCCCTACTCAGTCTATGTTGGGTTTTATAACAAGAACCAACAAACAAAGTGGGTTCTGGTTGGTAAGGTAGGTCTGATCTCAGGACAGAAGCTGCCGCGGCACGCTGGCCAGGCAACAAATCACGAAGATCAGCACCACCTGCGTCGCCTGGGAGCGCGCCCAATGCGAGTCGTTGGCCAGCAAACACCTCTGGCTGTCGCTGAGCGGGGATTTAGGCACTCCTATAGGTCCAGGGAGGGGTGGAAGCTGAAGAAGTCTGTGCCATGGGGAAAACAGTTTTGTTGCTTCAAGGTGCAATGCGAATAAGTGGAGTCGCCGGCTTCACCCGGAGAACTGCGTCGCTAGCAGCCGTCTCTTCGAGTACTGGCCGGATCCCCCCTTCCAGGAAACACAATATTGAACCATGTTGCACATGAGCCAGAAGGGGAATAAACTGTGGCCAGCTCTTATAATGACCATCTTCCACCTAGTCTGGATGCGGGTGCGTCCTCTTTACCCTACCATGCCAAACTCGCTTCACGTACAAGTGTTCCTCAACTCACAGCCCGTCCTGCACACAAAAATGGGGAAGAACAACGACAACCTCAACAGCAATCATCAACGACCACTCCCCAGATCAAGGGACTACATAGTTGCTCTTCCTCCGCGCCGGGGCACGTTGTCAAACTGGTCATGGTCAAGCCAACGAGCAAAAGGCCCGCTTCGGACCAGTTCCATGCTTTGTTCTGGCAGGCGCAGCCCGACAGCACTAGGTACAAATCCACAACATTAGACATGTGATCTCAAAAAGGGCACGTGTTTTTGCTGTGCATCTATATACCGGGAGTGAGAACGTGTTGGATCTCTCCGCTGGCGGGTCCCAGAACAGTACAAGTAAGCAGAAACTCCAAGGCAACACGCGCACAATCTACCACGCTCGCAACTGCGCGATTGGAGCACGCAGGAAAAGACCTACTAGTCAACGCTCCCTGTGATCACAAGCATGGCCCTGCACCAACAGAGCTACTCAAATTGACCCCCTCCCCTTCGCGCGTCCTTGTATGGCCGGAAGATCCCATTGAGGGCGAGGGAGATGATCAGAGTGACGGCAATGCCTTCCATTTGCAAGGCCTCGAGACACGCTTCAGAATCCGGATGGTCGGGCCCAGGCACAAAGACGCATAAGCGAACTGGCGTGCTTTTGTTTTCACATACACATTACTTGCACTGAACGATTTTGGCAAGAAGTATCTGCTCATCACAGATCGCTGCTGCACCCCGCTGCCGTCTTTCGCGACCGTGCGGCGGGTGAGAGAACCGTGGGGAGGGCGAACTTGTTGTAGAGGAGCACCATTTTGCGGCCAAGCTTCTCAATCTGACAGGGAGGTTGAAACCGGTTCACTGTACATGATTGCACAGCTGCGGAATCAAATTCAGGAAACGATCCCTGGATCATGTGCGTAATAGCGTCTAGGACCTGCAAGATCTCCGGGACCTCAACTCTCGACCTACCTTGCACGGAGGCATGAAAACTTACCATTTTAACTCAAGTGGAAACTGCCTACGCATGGTCTTCTTGGATCTCACTGCATTCCAGCCAAGCTTTCCAAGCCAGCCTCCCATGCTGGGTACTTGGTCTTGTATGCGAGGGTCAGGTATTGGACGTGTGCCGGAGGTGCATCGCTCTGTCGAAGCACCTGTGTCTTAGCACGTCCTGTCGCCCTGCAACTGCAAACTGGGAGCGCTTGATTGCATCCGAACTGCAGCCAGAAGCCATCCAGCAATGCCAGCTGTCGCACATATCAGGGTGGCACACACGACCGCGCTGATGGCGCACATGGATGACTCGCCGAATTTAGGAAGAAACTCGAACCGGGCATCCTTAGCACGTGAACCCAAATGCCACAACAAGGCTTGCGTCCGGTCGCGGGGCTCTGCATGCAACTAAGCTGCGCCCCCAATATTGTTTTCTGGCCGGATGCGAAGCATGACGAGGTACTTGCCGAAGACGGCGACGAAACGGGGCAAGAACACGTTGGTTCCCAGCACCAGTGCCATCCAGGGGTCGCGCACGATTGCCAGGAGCACCTTCGATGCCGCAGGGCTAACCCTGCGCAGCCCCTCCAACAATATCAAGGGAGACCCCTCGCAGTTTCAAAACGCACGACTGGTACATTTAATCGTGAAGTGGAATCGTTACCGCTGTTCAGTTTACCCGGTTTTCTTCGCGAGCAGACTGCAGGGAATCTTTCTGTCACCTTCAGTAGTGCCCCGTGCACTTGAGTCCTTTCAACCCTGTACGAACACAAAACAAGATGCACATCTGGCATCTCGAAGCTCCTGAAATGCATGGAAGGAGCTGTCAGCATCAACGGCATGATGGCGGATACCAAATGGGCATTGAGGAGTGATGGTTGGAAGTCGAAGAAGGCAAGCACGCACTCCAGTGACATGTCGGTTGTGCTGCTCCTGCTCTACCCACAGTGTGCAAAGGAAACTATTTTATTTCGAACATCCCCACCCTACAAACAACACCACTGACTGGCGATACGGTCGCGGGGTCCCCGCACACGT